CGCTCTGACCGCTGAGCCAAACCGGCCAGGGCTAAAAACATTTTTAAGCCCAGCCGGTGTGGCTCAGTGGATTGAGAGTCGTCCCATGAACTGAGAGGTCCTGGTTTGATTCCTGGTCAGGGCACATGCCCTGGTTGTGGGCTCGATCTCCAGCATGGGGTGTACAGGAGGCAGCTGATCAATGTGTCTCTCTCACATTGATGTTTCTCTCTCTCCCTTCCTCTCTCTCTAAAAAATAAATAAAAACATATTTTTAAAAAAAATGATAGCAATTAGAATTATTTATTTATTTGAAAAATCTTCCCATATAATTTTAGTATATTCAGTAGGCCAAATTAGTTTAAAATTTCTCTTTTATAGGGAGAGAGAACAAATGTTGGAGGCATTACAGGGGAATAACGCAAAGCCATCTTCAGGTTAAGAAAAATTCTCCTCTTAAAACCTGGATCTTGCCCTGGCCAGTTTGGCTCAACGGTTAGAGCGTCGGCCTGCGGTCCTGAGAGACCCGGGTTCGGTTCCCGCTAAGGGCGCGTACCTCGGTTGCAGTTTGTCCCCGGCCCTGGTCGGTTGTGCGGGTGGCAGCCACTCGATGTGTTCCTTTCGCACTGATGTTTTTCTCTCTCTCTCTGTTCCTCTCTCTCCCTCCCACTCTACCTGAACAAAAAATGGAAAAATGTCCTTGGGTGAGGATTAAAAAAACAAAAACAAAAAAAACCTGGATCTTGGGAATTTTGTCAAACAGGCTTGCCCCAAAAGATCATATATCACTGTGAAACAATATTAAACTATTCAGTTACTCAAAGTGACAATAAAATATATCAAACGTAGGTAGCCTAGGTTAAGGGTTAATGACTGCTTTTTTTTTTTTCTTTATTGATTTTTAGAGAGAGAGAGAGAGAAACATCTATGAGAGAGTACATCAGTTGGCTGCCTCCTGCATGCCTCCCACTGGGGGTTGGGCCCACAACCTGGGCATGTGCCCTGACCAGAAATTGAACTGGCGACCTCTGGGTGCATGGGTCGACGCTCAATCCACTGAGCCACACACTGGCTGGGTGGGGTTAATGACTTCTTACTTTCGAGATAATTAATGTGGGACTCCAGTGTCTGAAGGACTGCAGAGCTTGGACTGAGTTAGATGCTCCTCAACAGGGGATGGGGGCTACAAACATACACACAGATACACTCAGATACAGACACACACACACAGATACACTCAGATACAAACATACACCCAGATACACTCGGATACAGACACACACACACATATACACTCAGATACAGACACACACACAGATACACTCAGATACACTCAGATATAGACACACACACAGATACACTCATAAAGACATACACAGATACACTCAGATATAGACACACGCACAGATACACTGATAAAGACATACACAGATACACCCAGATACACTCAGATATAGACACACGCACACAGATACACTCAGATTCAGACACACACACAGATACTCTCAGATCCAGACACACACACAGCTACACTCATATAAAGACATACACACACAGACACTCAGATACAGACACACACACACAGATACAGACATACACACATACACTCAGATGTAGACACAGACATACACACAGATACACTCAGATACAGATACACCCAGATACAGACACACACATAGCTACACTCATATAAAGACATACACACACAGACACACAGATACAGACACACACACAGCTACACTCATATAAAGACATACACACACAGACACACAGATACAGACACACACACAGATACTCTCAGATACAGACACACAAATACACCCAGACACACACAGATACACCCAGATACAGACACACACCCAGATACACTCAGATACAGACACACCCAGATACAGACACACACAGATACACCCAGATACAGACACACACACCCAGATACACCTAGATACAGACACACACCCAGATACACTCAGATACAGACACACCCAGATACACCCAGATACAGACACACCCAGATACACCCAGATATAGACACACACACAGATACACCCAGATACAGACACAGATACACCCAGATAGACACACAGATACACCCAGATACAGACACACACAGATACACCCAGATACAGACTCTCAGATACACTCAGATACAGACACACACACAGATACACTCAGATACAGACACACACACAGATACACTCAGATACAGACACACACAGATACACTCATATGGCTGCCCACCCAGGACCCAGCACCCACGAGTTGGGAGGCTAACCTCGTGGTAGGCCACATGTGCTCGTTGAGGGTGGTGACAGGGAATCACAGCTGCCACAGGTCCCTCCCTCATCCCTCAGGGTCAGCCGAAGAGGGCAACCCGCAGAACCTTAAGTCTCCATGAACACTCGGAACGGAACCACACATACAGGGCAGGGATTGAGAGTTCTTCCAGACAGAGACGGAGACAGAGCCTGGGCCAGCAGCCCAATGCGGCTCCCCAGGCAGGGCTCTGGGCAACCAGGGGACCACCGTGTTTCTTTTCCTGAAGTGACAGTAGAAAGTAGCACAGAGGAGGGGGAGTGTGGGCCGCAGACAGCCGCCAGGGCTGCAGGGCCTTGGGCGGTGGTCACAGGCTGCAGTCTCTCTCTGCTGCCAGACTGGCACTGAGCAGGGGCTGCTGCCCGGCCCAGGGCGGCCAGTGCTGGGACGTCAGCTGGATCTGCAGTGTGCAGGCGAGGGGGGAGGCAAGGCTCAAGTCTGTCTCCCTGATCCAGTTTGAATGGGATTTTAAAGGGTTTCAACAGTGATCTTCCCGGAAGGTGGACCTTTGATTCTGAAAGGTTTCCCTCTTCAGGTTCTAGTCACCTGGGTCTTTTATTTATTTATTTTTTATTTTATTATTATTTTTTTTAATCCTTATCCGAGGACATTTTTCCATTTTTTGCACAGACAGAGTGGGAGGGGGAGAGAGGAAGAGAGAGAGAGGGAAACATCGATGTGAAGGGACACATCGAGTGGCTGCCACCCGCACGACCAACCAGGGCCGGGGACAAACTGCAACCGAGGCACATGCCCTTAGCGGGAACCGAACCCGGGCCTCTCCGGACCACAGGCGGACGCTCTAACCGCTGAGCCAAACTGGCCAGGGCGTCACCTGGGTCTTTTAAATGGTCCAGGGGGCAGGGGCAGTTCAGAGTTCCTGGGTGGTACTGGCGAGGGGCTTATCCCAAGTGTAGACTTTGGTTCGGGGACTTGTTAGAACAGGAAAGGAGCTGTGGGCTGTGGAGCTACAGCCTGGCTCCTGCCTCTGTGCGCCGCTCGCAGGGTGCAGCTGATGGTGATGCTGCTGGGACGAAGTGACGTACACCTAAAGCCCTGAGAAATGCCACACAGCCCGAGTGCACAGTCAGGGGTGCTTGCGTAGCCATCGGTGTTGCGTACCCTGTATGCCACAGGCACACAACACAGGACACAGACACAGACACAGGGTACAAGAAAGGGCCTCAGGCACAGGCACAGGACACAAGCATAGGACACAGGCACAGGACTCAGGATCAGGACACAGGCACAGGACTCAGGCACGGGGCACAGGACTCAGGCACAGGACACAGGAAACAGGACACAGGCACAGGACTCAGGCACAGGACACAGGACTCGGGCACAGGCACAGGACACAGGACTCGGGCACAGGACACAGGACTCAGGCACAGGCACAGGACACAGGACTCGGGCACAGGACACAGGACTCAGGTACAGGACTCAGGCACAGGACACAGGACTCGGGCACAGGCACAGGACACAGGACTCAGGCACAGGACACAGGACTCGGGCACAGGACACAGGACTCGGGCACAGGCACAGGACACAGGACTCGGGCACAGGACACAGGACTCAGGCACAGGCACAGGACACAGGACTCGGGCACAGGACACAGGACTCAGGTACAGGACTCAGGCACAGGACACAGGACTCGGGCACAGGCACAGGACACAGGACTTGGGCACAGGACACAGGACTCGGGCACAGGACACAGGACTCGGGCACAGGCACAGGACACAGGACTCGGGCACAGGACACAGGACTCAGGTACAGGACTCAGACACAGGACACAGGACTCGGGCACAGGCACAGGACACAGGACTTAGGCACAGGACACAGGACTCGGGCACAGGACACAGGACTCGGGCACAGGACTCGGGCACAGGACACAGGCACAGGCACAGGACATAGGACTCAAGCACAGGCACAGGACACAGGACTCGGGCACAGGACACAGGACTCGGGCACAGGACACAGGCATAGGACTCAAGCACAAGACATAGGACTCAGGTACAGGTCACAGGCACAGGACACAGGCACTGGACACAAGCAGAGGCATAGGACACAGGACACAGGGACATGGCCCAAGACACAGTAGAGGCCACAGGGCACAGGCATTTCTGAAGAGCAGGGAGCCACTGTGTGGGTTAAGGGACATTGAGGACCATGGCTATGATATTAATACTTGATTCATTTGCTTTTTAATTTCTGATTTCTAACAGAATAATTGTTTTTCTGTATAGAAATATTGAAAATATTTTTCTGCCAAGAATTTAGTATTTTCAGAGGATGAGCTCCAAAGCACTAGTGGTTTTTCCCCGAGATGAGATGATGGATAGAAAGAAAAGTCTTAACATAATGTCCGGAACACAGTAAGTCCCAGGAAATACATGCTGAGACTGGAGGGAATAACTAGCAAGTGGAAATAACAACAGCTAACACGGGGGAGCCTCTGTCCCGAGGACATTGCTCCCCTGAACTTTGTCCTCTCAGCCTCGTGACAACCCAGAGCAGGAGGATTGTAGGGGGGTCACATGTCTCGGGCGGAGCTGACACTTGAACTCAGTTAAGGGTTAGACAATAGACCTAGAGGACATTTCATAGATGAAAAATATTTTATACGGGAAATAGGAAATGTGAGGACTCAAATAAAAGTAAAACCAAAGAGAAGGAAAATCAATTTTAAATGTCTGTTATTTTCCCAGCTCCTAAACGCACTGAAAACAGTGTCTACGTTTGAAGTCCAGGTTGTGGATTACAAGTACAGGTAAGTAACCACCCCGGGCCAGGCTGCCGTCTCTGCCTGGACGAGCGGGTGGAAGGGCTGCCCGGTGGAGTTGTTGGCACTGCAGGCCTGGCAGGGGCGAGCAGATGCCCTCAGCGAGCGCGGTGGGCAGGTGGGGCCCCGGGCACGGGGCGGCTGCTTTTCGGCTGCCCCGGCCTGAGATTGCTCACCATCCAATTTTCCAAGGAAAGCGATGAGTCTAGATTGTCTTTTGAAATTTCTGAATTTTTTTAAGTTAGCAACAAATTGGAAATTAAAATAAAATGTTGTGGGCCTAGTTTGCCCTGCTAGCTGCCACTTTCAACTTTTGACCCAAAATTAGTTATGTGTAAATAATCTGAGGATCCTAAGACTAATAAGAAAGTTTTAGAAATGTTACATGTAAAACATTTACATTGCTTTAAAAATTCTGACACAATAAAAGGCTTCGAAAGACAGAAGCGCCTGTCACTGCCCGGCCGACCCTGAGCTGTGAGGTGGTGCAGTGCAGGTGTGTCCGGTGGGAGTCAGGCTGTACAGAGAAGTTCCAAAGAAGGGGAAGCTTTGTCTCCCACCCGCGTCCACCCACGGTCAGTCTTGTTTTCCACACTGAACACACGAACAGTTTCTATGTTAAAAAAGAACAAGTGTACATTTACCAGCCAAAGGGCGTCTAATATGGGCGGTGTAAACTCACCAGTGTCCGACGCCACTCGCATACTCGCTGCTTCACGTGCAGGCTTGTCGGGTCCCTACTGCGCCGGTCACAGTCTTCACAGTAGGACTGCCTCCTGGGGATGGCTCTTGTCCTGAGGACCACACACACCGCATACACGTGGACAGTTGTAAGAGCAGGGACCCTCCACTGAGACGTGCTATTGCGCTTCTCTTGTCTCGTCTCAGTCTTTGAACAGTCCTGTGAGTGGGCAGAGCTATTCCCGTTGTTCGAATTTCACTGCCTGGTGACACCCTCACTGCTGCCTGAGGTAACATGGCAGGCAGGAAGGGCTTGGGCCTCGGGCTGAGAGTGGGGTGGGGGCACCTCTGAGGCTCTGTTGTTGACTGGGTTTCCCAGAGGAAGGAAGATGACAGTGAGTTCAGACCTTGCCAGTCTGGGGGTCGTGTTAGTAACGTAGTCACACGGAAGCTGAGGCCTGAGCCTTGGGCGTTTTCCATAACTAACGATTCGAGGGCATATTCAGCTGGGCGACTGCCCGTCCTCCCCTTGGCATCACTTGGCATTGCTAGGGAAACTGAGGCACGTGTACCTCACGGAAGATGCATGGTGCTGTGTCCTCCCTTTCCTTGTGTGGGTGCGGGCTTTGTGTTGTGTGTGAGAGGAAGCTCTTTAAAGAGAGGAAGCTGATTAAGAGGAATTCGCTTTCCCTTAGATTCAAAATGATCTTGCTTCTTTCTTTGTCCGACTTTGGGTTGGTGGGACTGCTAGGCTGGGAGCCTCACCCTGCGTTTCTTCCCGGACTCTCTTCAATGCACCTTTTTGGCACTGATTTCAGTTCAGAGTCCACGTCTTTCAGTGTCTTGAATTCAAAGGACACTCTCACTCCTAATGCCCTCAGGTTGTGGACTAGTCTGTATGAAAGGCAAGACAATGCTCGGTGGTATCGAGATCATTTTAGTTATTCAGATGACATTGACTAAGTCAGCTCACACCAGGAGGAATTAAATTCCTATCTTTTAAAATCACTTCATCACCTTACGGAAATAGTTTTCCATTTGGTGCCTGTGTACCATAACATCTCAACCCTTGCTAATTTCACTTTTTCAAAGAGAGAAAGCAGGCATGACGCCTAGAACTTTGCCTTGCAAAGGTACCTACCTACATTTGAATAATACTTTTTAGTTTGATTATATCTATTTGTACAGTTTTGTTTATGTGTTACTGGCTTTCCATTTACGATAGCTATAAAAGTTTCCTTCTAGGATAAATGCATTTAAGTCTTAAAAAAATGAGTGTTTACTTAGTAAATGATAAATTATTGACTCATTATGTTATTAGATACTGGAATAGACTTGAATTTGGCAAAAAAATTATGGTGGGATATGATTTAAATGGAGAAAGACACTTGTACAAATATTACTATGAGTCATGAGCTCAACTAACTTACTATTTTCTCTCTTCTCACCACCCATCTTGTTGTCTGTATGTTCACAGGGAACTCGGGTTTTTGGATCAGCTAAAGATCACTCACAACACGGATATATTTATTGGAATGCATGGCGCTGGTCTCACCCATTTACTTTTCCTTCCGGACTGGGCTGCTGTATTTGAACTGTAAGTGTTTGGGGCAGTTCACGTCAAGGCAGGTCATGCATGGTGCTCGTTATGACGAGACTTCCACTCAGAGCAGGAGGCTCATCCCCGGAAGTCCTGTCCCATAGGCACCTGGAAAGTGAGAAAGACCTAAAGCTAAGTGAGAGCCTGTAGCGAAAGCACCACCTGCTCCTCCCCGTCTCAGTGGGAGATGGGAATCTGTGGTTTCTTTTTCTTTTCTTTTTTATTATTTTTGTATTATTGAGTCTATTACAGATGTCCCCCATGTCCTCCCCTTTGTCTCCCTCACCCTGCACTGTCCCCCCCCAAGCCTTTACCACATTACTGTCTGTGTCCTTGGGCTATGCACATGTGCATGTACGTTCTTTGGTTGATCTCTTCCCATCCTTCCCTCCCTCCTTCCCTCTGAGATCTGTCTGTCTGTTCTATTTATCCATGCTTCTGGTTGTATTTTGTTCATCAGTTTATTTTGTTCTTTAGATTCCACATATAAGTGAGATCATGTGATATTTGTCTTTCTCTGACTGGTTTATTTTGCTCAGCATAATAATCTCTAGGTCCCTCCATGCTGTCACAAAGGGTGAGAGTTCCTTCTTTTGTACAGCCGTGTAGTATTCTGTTGTGTAGATATACCACAGTATTTTTATCCACTCATCTACTGATAGATACTTGGGCTGTTTCCAGATCTTAGCTATTGTAAATAGTGCTGCTATGATCATAGGGGTGCACATATTCTTCCTGATTGGTGTTTCAGGATTCTTAGGATACAGTCCCAGAAGTAGAACCACTGGGTCAAAAAGCAGTTCCATTTTTAATTTTGTGAGAAAATTCCATACGATTTTCCACAGTAGTTGCACCCATCTGCATTCCCACCAGCAGTGTAGTAGGTTCCCTTTTCTCCACACCCTCGTCAGCACTTGTTTGTTGATTTATTGATGGTGGCCATTCTGACCAGTGTGAAGTGAGACCACATTGTAGTTTTAATTTGCATCTCTCTGATAATTAGTGACATTGATACTTTTTTATGTGTCTGCTGGCCATGTATATGTCCTCTTTGGAGAAGTGGCTATTCAGGTCCTTTGCTCAGTTTTTTTTTTTTTTTTTTTTTTTATCCTCATCCGAGGACATTTTTGCATTTTTTGTACAGACAGAGTGGGAGGGAGAGAGAGGAAGAGAGAGAGAGGGAAACATCGATGTGAAAGGGACACATCGAGTGGCTGCCACCCGCACGACCAACCAGGGCCGGGGACAAACTGCAACCGAGGTACATGCCCTGAGCGGGAACCGAACCCGGGTCTCTCCGGACCGCAGGCGGACGCTCTAACCGCTGAGCCAAACCGGCCAGGGCTGCTCAGTTTTTTTTAAATAAGATTTTTTGTCTTCCTGGCGTTGAATTGTATAAGTTCTATATATATTTTGGAGATCAACGCCTTATCTGATAAATCATTGGCAAACATGTTCTCTCATATGGTGGTTTCCCTTTTCGTATTGTCGATGATTTCTTTTTAGTCTGATATAGTCCCATTTGTTTATTTTTTTCTCCATTTTCCTTTCTCTTGGAGACATCTCTCCAAAAATATACTCTGAGAGATGTCTGAGATTTTACTGCCTATGTTTTCCTCTAGGACTTTTATGGTTTCATGACTTACATTTAAATATTTTATCCATTTTGAGTTCCTTCTTTTATATGGTGTAAGTTGGTGGTTATCTCTTTTAACATGCCTGTTCAATTTGTTGAAGAGATTGTCTTTACTCCACTGTATGCTTTTGCCTCCTTGGTAAAATATTGAGTGTGATGTCTTGGGTCAATTTCTGGGCTCTCTGTTCTGTTCCATTTATCTATATGCCTGTTCTTCTGCCAATATCAGACTGTTTTCATTACAGTGGCTTTGTAGCATAGTTTGATATCCGGTATTGTGATCCCTCCAACTTTGTTCTACTTTCTCAAGATTGCTGAGGCTATTCAGGGTCTTGTGTGGTTCCATATATATTTTTGGAGTATTTGTTCTAGATCTGTGAAATATGCTGTTGGTATTTTATTAGGGATTGTATTTACTCTATAGATTGCTTTGGGCAGTACAGACTTTTTTTTCTTTTTCTTTTAGCCGAGGGAGAAAGGGAGGAAGAGAGAGAGAAAAACATCGATGTGAGTGAGAAACATTGAGTGGTTGCCACCCACATGACCCCAACCAGGGCCAGAGACAAACTGCAACTGTGGTACGTGCCCTTATCGGGAACTGAACCTGGGACTCCCCGGTCCAAGGGCCGATGCTCTTACCACGGAGCAAAACTGGCCAGGGCAGTATGGACATTTTAATGATGTTAATTCTTCCAATCCATGAACTAGGTATATGCTTCCACTTGTTAGTATCATCCTCTATTTATTTTTTCAGTGACCAGTTACCCGAGTATAGGTCTTTTACCTCCTTGGTAAAGAAAAAACTACAGCCAACATCATACTCAATGGGAAAATCTAAAAGCGTTTCTCTTAAGATCAGGAACAAGACAGGGATGTCTGCTGTCACCACTCTTATTCAACATAGTATAGGAAGTTCCAGCCACAGCAGTCAGACAAAAAGAAGAAATAAAAGGCCTCCAAACTGGAAAGGAGGAAGTAAAACTGTCCTTATTTGCAGATGACAGATATTGTATAGGGAGAATTCTAAAGACTCCACCCAAACAACTACTAGAGCTCATAAATGAATTTGGCAAAGAAACAGGAAAAAAATTTAATATCCAGAAATCGGTGGCATTTTTATACAGCAATAATGAACTCAAGAAACCAATTATACAACCCCATTTGCCATTGAATCTGTGATTTCTTTCTTGGGGTTCACTCCTGTGTGCCTCTCAAACTGAGCCCCTCCTGCACTCAGTGAAATCACTCTGTTGAGAGAGCTGTGTGTCACACACCCATGTGCACAGACGCATTGTTCACAACAGGCAAGATGTGGAGTCACCCAAACGTCCATAGGGATGGATGGAGAACAAGGTGTCGCTTATACACACAATGGAACATTATTCAGCTTTGAGAAGATGGAAATCTTGTCACATACTGCAGCATGGCTGGAGCTTGGGGATGTTATATGAAGTGAAATAAGCCAGTCATAAAAGGACAAACACTGTGTGATTTCACTTACATGAGGTCTCAGGGGGTCATGTCTACAGACAGGAAGTGGATGCTGGCTGCCAGGGGCTAGGGCAAAAGAGGAGTGAGTGTTAACTGAGTGATAGTGTTGAAGATGACATTCTGGAGGTTGGTGACACAATAATGTGACTATACTTACCACTGCTGAACTGAACACCAAAAATGGTTAAGATGATACACTTTATGTGTGGTGTTTTCTGCCACAATTTTTGAAAGGTGAGAATTGGAGAACCTGTGCATCTTATGAAGAACAGAGCCCCAGCCCAAGCCAGCCATCTGCCTCACTCCCTGGTTCACACCCAGAAATGGGGTCAGTGTAGTTGTGCTAGACCTGGTGTTCCTCCACCTCGTGGCTGGTTATGGAGACATGGCCTTCTCTCCCATACTAATTCCACACCAGGCCTCACCTTAAGTTCTGACACAGCCTTTATTACCAGGATTCCTCCCTTTGCCTCCAAATATCTTAATTTTATGGTTTCACTTTAAAAATGACTTGACTTGGTATTTAACTGAAAGTCTACCTAGAAAACTGTCATGAACTGCCACACCATGGAAGACATTTAACAAATATACATTACAGAAATAGGCAGATAATTGTGGATTCAGTTCCAAGCCTTCATTTCTCTTAGAGAGGGAGGGAGGGAAGCAAGGAAGGAGGAAGTACAGAAATGTAATTGAGAAAGCTCAGGCCTTGGAGTTCAACAGGCCTGGGTTTAGTTTCTGCTTCACTAGCTCCGTGACCTTGGAAGTGTTTCATAGGTGCAAAGACGGGTATTATGAGAAAATATAAAATTCATAGTCAGCCCTGTTGATAAAGGTCTGTCTCCATTCTATTCTGTTTTTTAAAAATTAAAGTATCTAGTTATGAGAACATTTTAAAAATATGGTGTGGGGCAAAAGTAGATTTACAGTTGCTTGCATGGGATATAATACAATAATTAATCAATAATAACACAAGAATAAACTTTGTTTCATGTATTCACAACTGTGAACCTGCTCTTGCCCCACCTGTAACCACCCTCAGTTTTGTTTACTGTTTATACAATCTTTAGCAAGAACCTATTTGGAAGGTGCATTTTCCCCAGAGAAATGGGGTTGGGAAAACTGCAGACAAAGTCTCCTATGTGGACCTTTGGCCCCTTAGGTACAACTGTGGAGACGAGCGCTGTTACCTGGACCTGGCGAGGCTCAGAGGCGTGTACTACATCACTTGGCAGAGACAGAACAAAGTCTTTCCTCAAGACAAGGTAAAGTGAAATGGCAAAACTCACCTTGTTCTGCCTTTTAATTATTTTAAAGTGTCTATTAATATGAAAAACTATCATTGAACTTCAAAGAGAAATTGTTCTCTGGAGTAGTGAGTTGTTATATATCGTATTTGCAAATTGGAGAAAGAGGGTCATTATTTACTCTGTATTTTTAATGCTAATAAGAAAACTTTATGAGATTTGGGCCTAGAAAAGTCCATTAAATTATATATAATAGGGATCAGCAAACTATGGACCAGCAGGCCACATCTGGTCCACCATCGTTTTTATACATAAAGTTTTATTGTGACACAGCAGTGCCCTCTGTTTGTGTGTTATCTGTGGCTTCTTGTGCCCTTCATGGCAGAGCTGAGGAATTGTGAAAAGACTGTGTGGTTCACAGAGCTGAAAATATGTGTTATATGGACTTGACTGAAAAAAATTTTGCTGACCTCTGAGGTAGAGCATGAATTAAACCAGTTGCTTTGGCCAAAGTAGATTCCTCTGAGGCATGAAGAAAGGAAGGCAGAATAGATAATGCAGACAAGGCACAGAGAAGAAAAACTAGTCCCGGCTAACTGCCTGGATGGGACCCTGGCCACATCTGGCATTGAAACAGAAAGATGGAAATAAATATGGAGGGGAGAATGAAAATGGCATAAGAGTAAATGGAAGCTACACAGACCATCTCCCAGGACCAAACTGGAATTACAACTAAAATAAAGACAAGTCATCAGCAAAACCAATTGAAGAGCAGCTGGAGAGAACCCTTACAACCAGGGACATAAAGAGGACCCCAAATCAAGATAGGTAGGAGCTGTGGAGACATGAGAGGGCTGACTGGGTGCCCATGGGCAGCAGCTGAGGGCTGTCTTAGCTGTGATGGGTTACCTCTGATATGTTGGCAGTTAAAACCCCAATTCAGGTCCCCAGCACAGAGTGGCAGAACAGAGAAAGGTGCCCACGTAACACCTGGCTGAGAAAAACACCAGAGCAGAGGTTTCGTCTGTCAGGGAGAGGCACAGGGAGCACCAGCGCTTCCCTGAAGGGCCAGTGCACTAAATCAGCTACAGCCACTCACCCTGGGCTCTGACAGAGGGAAGGCGGACTGGACTGGAACTGTGTGAAGAGAGTGGGGGCACTGGGGAGAGAACTGGGAAGGAGGCCATTAGGAGTTTTATGCTGAATCACTCCCTCATAGGACAGTAGCCATCTTACTCAAAGAGCCCTGGGGAGAAGCAATAGCCTCTCCCTCAGGAATTTAACACCACTCACTGCAGAAATGCAACCCGAGGCTTCTTAATAGCTAGAGACAACCAGCAAGCAAGGAGAGGGGAAAAAAACGCCTCTGAAAGATTTGAGATTTGGACCTGGCCTCAGTGTTGGTGGTCTTGGCTCTGAGGACTGAACTGTGAAAGCTGAGGCCTGAGTTCCTATGCTGAACCCCTTCCCCATTGCTTCATTAGCTATCTCTGTCAAGTAGCCTCATCAGAACAGTTTTAGTCTGGGGGAGAAGCAACTGCCCCTCCCTCAGAAATTAACCATGAACCTGTGGCTCTGGAGACTGAGCTTTGAAGGCAGAGGCTTGAACCCCTGCACTGAACCAATAATCCACACTACAGAAACCACTTTATTATCAAAGCAACTTTAACCTAGGGAAAAGCAGTAGCCGCACCCACTTTTAATCATCTTACCCTGTCCACCTGAGGGATTTTTCATTCAGTTAAGGGCTACATCCTGAGGCTCATTAAGTAACTGAGACTAAATAACCTGCAGGCAAACACTATAGGGTACCAGAATCTTTGCTTGGCCTGGACTGTCCCCAGGAAAGTAAGACTAGACATTGATGTTTAACACGGGCCCTTCCACACTCATCTAAACCCAGTAGTGGGAGCCACAATCAGAGGAACACTGATAGCACAGGGAAAATTTGATAGGCTTCAAAATCCATTGAGATAGCCAAAATGATAAAACAAAGAAACAAATCCCAAATGAAAGACCAAGAGAATTCTACAGAAGAAGGGATAAATGAAATGGAATTAAGCAAGTTATCAGAGGTAGAATTCAGAGTAATAATTATGAGGAAGCTCAACAGCATTAGTAAAGATATAGAAACAATGAAAATCAACCAATTGGAAATGAAAACCACCAAGTGGAAAAGAAGAATGACATAGCAGAAATAAAGAACATATTGGAAGCCCAGCTGGTGTGGCTCAGTGGTTGAGCGTTGACCCATGCACCAAGAGGTCGCCAGTTCAATTCCCAGTCAGGGCACATGTCCAGGTTGTGGGCCTGATCCCCAGTGAGGGGCATGCAGGAGGCAGCCAGTGAGAGTTCTCGTTCATCGATGTTTCTATCACTTTCTCCCTCTACCTTCTTTTTGCTCTCAAAATCAATAAAGAATAAAAAAATAAAGAACACATTGGAAAGAATAGCCAGTGTATTAGAGGAAGCCAAGGATCAGAGCAGTGAATTAGAAAAATATTACCCAATCAGAGAACCAAAGAGATAAAACAATTCAAAAACAGGAGGACAGTTTAAGTGAACTGTGGGACAATATGAAATGAAACAACATCCACATCATAGGAGTTGAAGAAGAAAATGAACAAGGGTTATAGAATATATTTCAAGAAATAGTGACAGAAAAGTCCCTTAACTTGGTGAAGGAAAAAGGCATATAAGTTCAGGAAGCACAGAGTCCCAAGTAAGAAGAACCCAAAGAGGTCCACACCAAGACACAAAATAATTAAAATACCAAAAATTAAAGACAAAGAGAGAATCTTAAAGGCAGCAAGAGTAAAGCAACAGGTTACCTACAAAGGAGACCCCATAAAGATATCAGCTGATTTCTCAACCGAAACACTATAGACCAGAAAGGAATGGCATGAAGTATTAAAGATAATGAAAAAGAAGCATCTGAATCCAAGACTACTCTATCCAGCAAAGCTACCATTCAAAATAGAAGGTGAAATAAAAAGCTTCTCAGACCAAAAAACAAAAACAAAAACAGGCTAAGGGAATATATTAGCACCAAACCAAATATTAAAAGGACTGCAGGAGAAATAGTGAGAGGAACATAACCATAATAAATAAAAATGGCAGTAAATAAGTACATATCAATAATCTTAAATGTAAATGGATTAAATGCTCCAATCAAAAGACACACAGTAGCTGAATGGATAAGAAAGCATGACTCATATATATGTTGCTTACAAGAGCCCCACCTCACAACAAAACACTCACATGAGTTAAAAGCGAAGGGATGGAAAAAAATTTTTCCGAGCAAATGGCAAGGAAAAAAAGCTGGGGTAGTAATAGTCATATCTGATAAAATAGACTTCAAAATTAAGGCTATAACTAGAGAAAAAGAAGGCCACTACATAATATTGAAAGGATCTATCCAACAGGGAGAATATAACCTTAATAAACATATGTGCACCCAATAGAGGAGCACCAAAATATATTTAAATCTTTTGGAGGACTTCAATGGAGAAATTGACTGCAATACAGTCATAGCAGGGGACTTCAACACCCCACTGCCATCACTGGATAGATATTCTAGACAAGAAAATAACAAGGAAACAGAGACTCTAAATGATGTACTAGATCAAATGGATTTAATAGATATTTACAGAGAATTACATCCTCAAACAACAGAATTTACATACTTCTCAAGTATACACAGGGCATTTTCAAAGATAGACCACATGATAAGACACAAACTAAGTCTCTACAAGTTCTAGAACATTGAAATCATACCAAGCATCTTCTCAGATCACAATGGCATGAAACTAGAAATTAATTATAGTAAAAACACTAAAAATTCAAACACATGGCGGCTAAATAGCATGTTATTAAACAATGAATGGGTTATCAAGGAGATCAAGGAAGGAAGAAATAAAATAATTCCTGGAAATCAATGAAAATAAACACACAACAATACAAAATCCATGGGCTGTGGTGAAAGCAGTCCTGAGGGGGAAGTTCATAGCACTACAGGCCTATTCAAGAAACAAGAAAAACTTCTAATAGACTGTCTAACCATACAACTTAAAGAACTGGAACGTAGACAAAAGGAAATAGAAAAGGTCAGAGGAGAAATAAATGACATAGAGACTTAAAAACAACTAGAAAGATCAAGGAAACAAAGATCTGGTTCTTTGAAAAGATAAACAAGATTGATGGTCCCTTAGCCACACTCAACAAGAAAGAAGAGAGGGTCCAATAAACAAAATCAGAACTGAAAGAGGAGAAATAACAACTGACACCACAGAAATACAAAGGGTTGTTAAAAAATACTATGAAAAATTACATGCCAACAAAATGGAACAATCTAGGCAAAATGGACAATTTTCTAAAATCACAGTCTTCCAAAACTGAACCATGAAGAGATAAAACTTGAACAGACCAATAACAACTAAGGAAATTGGAGATGTAATCAATGAACTCCCAGCAAACAAAAGCCGGGGTCCCAAAGGCTTCACGGGGGGAGTTTTGCCAAACATTCAAAGAAGAATGAACACCCATTTTCCTCAAATTATTCTTAAAAAATTCAAGCCCTGGCCTGTTTGGCTCAGCGGTTAGAGCAGCGGCCTGCGGTCCAGAGAGATCCGGGTTCAGTTCCCACTATGGCCACGTACCACAGTTGCAGTTTGTCCCCGCCCCTGGTTGGGTCGTGCGGTGGCAACCACTTGATGTGTTCCTTTCCCGTCGATGTTTCTCTCTCTCTCCCTCCTACTCTACCTGAACAAAAAATGAAAAAATGTCCTTGGGTGAGGACAGAAAAAAAAAAAAAATCAAGAAGAAGGAAGACTTCTGAGCTCTTTTTATGAGGCCAGCATAATCCTAATTCCTAAACCACAAAGAAACTACAAAGAAAGTAATCTACAGGCCAATCTACCTGATGAACATAGGTACCAAAATCCTAAACAAAATATTAGCAAATTGGACCAGCAATACGTTAAAAAAATTATTCAACATGACAAAGTGGGCTTCACCCC